GCTGGCTTGGCCACGTGCTGCATATGCCAGTCGACCGACTTCCTCAAAGGGCTCTTTTCGCCCAACCATGTGAAGGGTGGAAGAGAGCCAGAGGCGGTCAAACAACCACTTGGCAGCGAAGTTTGAAAGCCATTACCAGCGAACTCAGCGTCTTCCTGGATGGGGACCCCGAGACGGGCCACACCAATGTCTGGAGACATTGTCAGACATGACCCAGTCGCGCCCTCAATGGCGCTTGTGCATCCAAGCTATTGCCTTCAATGCACAGCTCCCCTCTCAACCCCGCACTTCACAGATCACTGACAGTGCTGGATTTATGCACCAATATACCAGCTCGCGCGTGCAGTGCGCAGCTACCTACCCCCCAAATCATCGGTGAACGAAACTGCGGCAGTTACAACCAGTATACGACGAGTACGTGGTTCTTACAGCTGACAATGATGATGATGATGATGATAGATGCTTTTGCCAATAACTTCAGTCCGGTCAACAACTACTACCTCAGGATGGTTATCATACGACGCGACACACCAGTGATTGTTGAGGCTAGCAGGCGTCACCCGGTCATATAGTCAGTGGCACTTCTACGTCGCATATTTCAATGCGTAACTGTAAGATATCTCATTTCACCAGACATCCATGAGAATTCAACACCACTTAGGCCGTCGCTGTCAACGCATGTTTGTTCCGTCCGTGTTCTCCAAACTATCGGTAGATGACACTGCAGCAGCTGAAACCAAAATACCTTTGCCATATCGTCTGCAGCCTACTAATTAAACTAAATTATCCTAACAATGAGTGCCCTCTTAGCACTTTGGAAAAACTTCATTTTCTAAGGTTTTCCACTTTATCATTGCTTTTTATTTCCTCAAGAAAGTCATACCACTTCTTTAGCTTTAATCGCCTTCTTAAATCCAAATGTCATGACTGACCTGACACGATTATTTTATACTTTTGTTCCCTAGTGTTCTTTGATTCCCTTTGGATCAACCTTGACCTCAGATCTTATCCGAGACAGTCAACGGATTCATGAGTCACCGGTTTAAGTATGTGGTTCCGCACTTTATACGGTCTGTAAGATTATTGTTTTTGCTCTGCCATCAATTTTCGAGGCAGATTGGTGCGGTCTGATCGTTTTCCCACACCACTAGATTAGGCGAGATCAGGATTTATGGGAGATTAAGCCTAACACTTGTTCCTCAGATTTTGTTGAAGCATATGCTGAGGAATATCTCTTTCTCTGATCTTTTGGAACGAGCTCACTCATCCAGATTGGATCGCCCTTTCTATATCGTGTGGTAAGGCCGGGGTGGTTAATCAGTTATGATGCGGAATCACTAATGGGAAGGTGCGTGATTCGAACCCAACTCTGACGTCTGGGAGAAAGAACACATCGTCACTCCTCTGTGGTAGGTCTGGGCTTAGGGTTTATTTTATACCAGTCATAAGTCATACAACGGCTTCAAGGAACTGTTATAGTCGTCCCGGGATTTTGGGATTTTGGTCCGGTTCCTCAGGTCTCCGCTTACGGACAACTTACGAAACAATTACTAGGATATTATCTCTTATACAGGACGAGTCACATCAAGTTCTTTGTGGGGAGCGTGTTTCCCCCGNAGTTTTTGTGGGGAGCGTGTTTCCCCCCGAACCCTTTGCCAACGACGTCTTACATATTCTTTTTCTAACAATCCTGTCCCACAGCTCAGTCGTAATTTTTGGTACAGCTGGTCTCAGTGTGACACCTGTGAACATCTCCACCCCTTGTTCCGTCGAGCACTCCAATGTGAACCTCGAGTTAATTCATATCTAGTACATCGTCTTCTATGGTTTTATCATCATATGGTTAGTTTTTCGTTCTTTAGCGGCCATATCTCGATACAATAAGTTGCTTCGCTTTCCAGTTATTTGTATACTACGGTGTGAGTATTGCGCTTGAAAAATATCTGGACCTGGTAAATGTGAATATATTAGGTGTGATGGTGATAGACATTGTAAATTTTATGCGATTGGTCACAGTGGGTGAGAAAACGAACTGGAACTAAAACCGGATCCTTTTTGCGACGTTTGGACTCTTTCGGCGTGATTTTATCAGGAAAATAATACACCATTCACACTGAATACTTTTCGAAAGTAAGAGGGCATATAAATAAAATTAGAACGGAAAAGGAAAACGGGAGAATCTAATTTGGGATGTTGCGTGGAGCACTTAGTTGAGGTCAGCAACGGAATTTTTGTCTGCAAAGACAAGTAATGGGAAGACAAGATGGGATCGGTCAGGTAGCAAGTGAACTACACAACGCATGATGTGAGATGAGACACTGACTAGGGTGCTACGTGCGGGTCCCCAGTGCAGATTGTGGCCCATTACAGGGAAAACAAGTACCTTTTTTCCGACTGAATTCATCGGGCCAAACGGTCGACAGTTCTGCTCCACTAAATCAGTTTGCGTTATTTGGTGTATTTGCGATTGATGAAGCCACTGTTTTCAGGTGCCTCTCATGCGAACAGAAGTTCGTTCGAGAGCAGTCGAACGCAGTCATCATTCCTTAGGTTGTTAGTTTATCAGGGCGTAAGCTGCATTATTAGCATCTTGTTTTAAGTTGAAATGGATCCGCGAGCGGCTCGCATAGGCATAGTTCATGTTCTTTTACGCGATACGGTCGTAACGTAATCGGCTCGTTGAACTAGTGGCGGTGGATCTTTTGAGCGGACAGGCTTCTCCGCAAACACGGCCCTGATGTTGTATTCGTTTAAAATCGAAATGGTATAGCTGTAGCACTCTTGGTACCTAACTGCCATACCACCAGAAGGAAGCACGAGGGCTGGGATACTGCCAAGTTTACCAAGCCTAGACAGAGGAATTCGAGAGGCAGAGGTCAGGTTTGAACCATATACCTTTTGGTCAGCAAATTCGCCCTCTCACCACTGGGCCATCTCGCCCCCTGTATTGGTTCAACTTGTGTTCAACATTATCCGAAATGTTTCTTATCTTCTATACGGTATGAGAGCAGTTTCTCACCATTGGTTGGATTCCGTATGACTATTCGTGTACATTCAAGGAAATCACCTTTGTTTTTGACCTCGATAGACGATATTACTTTTCGGGGGTGACTAGATGCAACTGTTTTTCGGCCAACTGCCTCAGCTCCGCGGTCTCTAATGTACCATCTGAGTCCTTGTGTATGCTAAATATAAAAACTCCATTTTATCAAGTTTCCTCTCTCCGTTATGGATGCAATTTCTGGATGAAAGGCGTGCAGGTGACTTACAAAGCGTCCTTCATCGCAGCTTGTATGACGAATTCTGTGTCTACACGCCCGTATTAAGATATTCATCACGGCAGTTCGAATCAACTTAGCCTCCAATATCGCTAAAAACATCATGCGAGCTATCCATTATCTGCCCGGCCCCCCTCTCCTCCTACTATTTCCCTTTCCAGACCCTCAGATGACCCATTCAGTGCGACACCGTTTTTCACACTCCGGTTTTTTACATCCATTCCATAGTTTACTCTAGACCCCCTTCCCTATTTTAAGCAAATCTTGTTCCGCATAAATAGCGTTTTACTTTTGCCGTGAGTTAAAGACGTGTAAAAACTATGCACTCCCGATAGAACGACTGTCTCAGCTTTAGGCGGAGAAATCTACCTCACGGATTGTTGATTCTGGGATTCACTTTATTTTCGTCAAAATAGGCACCTTTTGCAGCGTACACATGTGTGGCTTATTGATACTTAGATCTTCGTGCCTGGTGAAGGCAACAGGATGTCCCCGCGTGGCGCAACTTTTGAACCTTCTCCTTTACTTTGTTACTCTTTCGATGTCAAGGACTGTATACGCACGGTGTCTCCTTCAGGAGTGACTCCGAAGCAATTGTTAATGAAAAAAGGGAAAATAACCGACAATTTCATTTTCCTTACGAAAGTGAGAGACTGTATGCTGAGAGAAGCGAATCCAAAAGGAGGGCGACCATACTATTCCAAACTACGGCTCTGGTTTCCTAGTAATGGATGCCTGTACTCAAAACGTTCATTTGCATGTCAGTGATGGAGACGATTCAGTACAACGGGACATTTTAGGTAAGAACTTCCGTGGTGGGACTTTTATCGACCGGAGTTAGTCAACCCACGGAACTGTCGCCATAAGACACCATATACACGGAATTTCGCCGAGATATAATCACGCTTTTCTTGTTTGCTGAAGCACCGCATCTCGTGCATCTCTAGAATGGTCAGCAACCTACTGTTAACTATGTGAAATGTGTCCTTAGATCGAGACAGTCTCGGAATCAGAACCACACAAGGTTGTTTTGAAAAGTGCAGCATTCCTCAACGATATCTACGTAGAAGTTACCGTCCCACTGAAAAAGAAATGTTAGCTGAAAGCTTATCTGTTCATTTTAGGGGAATATAAACATGAACCTGTAGACGGGTTTCACTAGGTTAATTCTCTATTGGTCACTGTGCCCTCTGACAAGCCTATGTGCCCAACGAACGGGCGAGTTGTGCACAAACAAACGAGGAACTAGATCATTCCGTGGGGACAGTAAGGAGAGAATCCTGTCAGAGAAATCACAGCTAACTGAGCGAAATCATATATCGATGACATCCCGTATTCTCACTTCTTTTTCGTAGAATTTCTTGTCATGTTTAACAACAACCAAAGGTAATTGCGGCATCCCCCCTCCCAAAAAAAGAATATGCAAGCCCAGGACGTAAAGTCATCCTTTTCATAAAAGTGATGTAAGAAGGAGGACGTTTCAGTTTCAATTTCGTAGCGGTTTTCTGCTCCGATAAGGTGGAGGCCAGTCCGTGTGAAGGATAATGCACAAAGTAACTGTTCTTCTAATTTGATGGAACTGAAACTGGATATTGTCATGTGAAGAGCGGCTGACAAGAGTGCTCAGTGTATCTGTTACCAACTGTCTCATCAGTGAATTTGATGATACTCGCATGTGACTATTATAAAACAGTACATTCAGGAGAGAAACGGACGAGAAACATAAGGCTTCGCCTGGTTGGTTGCAATTTTCATGACAGTGCTTTTCACTTTCTCCTCTTGCGAAATGGCCTAGTTCTTTGGTAATCCCCACGCAACTTGCTCCATCTTCGGACACGCAGATCTGTTAAAGGGCGCCCCAAAGCATGGAAACCTGACCGTCATTCTTGAATTAGGCACCAACCTTGCATTGGTATCGTTCACTAGGGTTGTACCCACTGTTGTACTGAAAAAAAAACGCGGCTTTCATAGAAGTCCCACACAGTGCTGGTTGGGACGACTTCCCAAGGCCCACAGAGCATGAAACCACGCCCAATACAGTTCAGTTCAGCTTGTTGGCCGCTAGGTGTGTGCGTGAAGCTGAGCATCTCGCAGAATAAAGCAATATCGCTCGTACGTGGATGCATTTCTGTGCACACTGAGACGTCCTAGAATGTCCGTCACATGGAATCGATAGCCTTTATCGACATTATGTCCAGCTGTAGCACCCTTTCTGTGCCTAACTGCCATGCCACCAGAAGGAAGCACAAGGGCTGGGATACTGCCAGGTTGCCCAAGCCTAGACAGGGGAAGTCGAGAGGTAGAGATCGGGTTCGAACCACAGACCTTCCGGTGGGTAAGTTCGCGCTCTAGCCACTCAGCCATCCCGCCCATCGGCACTATGTAAGTCGCTCTCATTGATTCACTGGTATTAATGACACTGTTAGCGTCCAGTTCAACAACTCCCGAATTCACACCGGTTACTTCACCCTACCTGAAAGGTCATGGTCCTGATTTTGAGTATGGGGCCAATGGACAAAAATGCTTTTTAACCTGGTAGACTAGACTGTTCCCTTCTTGAAAGCAATCCTTCTGCGAGGCAACCTGTCCCTCATCACCGAAAATGTCGAAACCGTGTCATTTCGCTCGTGTCTTAGAAGCGCTTTGTCTTAGGTGCTTTTTTCGGTGGAGAGTAGCACTATCATCAAGTCTATTTAATAAAGTGATTGATCGACCCAGATTTTTTGTTTGTCCTCTTTTGAACTACACTGCGACTGTACTGTTCTATTTCTGAAACATTATTGTATATAAGTCGCTTTACATCAGTCTGGATTCGACAAACACATTAGGATACCAAACGGGCTTTCACTCTCAAACCAGTATCTACGCCTAACTGCGATGAGGAGCTATACTTTAGGTGAAAAAAAGCAAATCTTGCGCTACAGATCATCCCTGCCGGAGTGGAGAATCGGTCCCCTTTTTGACAAAACAGAACTGAGGAATGTTGCTTTAGAGGCAGCCACACCCTAGATCAGGGGAGGAGCGGTTGAATTAATCACTACAGTTAAGGTTTGTTGGCTGACGTATTAAGTCTTGTGTAATTCATTCTATGTCCGTTCTACATCAGCAAGCACCGCAAGAGGTCGTTTTTAATGTCATTTTTCACTTATCTTTTATCCGTTCGCTTTGCTTTCCACTACTGAGATGTTGTACACACCACAGGGAATAATCAGAGTTCAACGTCTCACTTTGTGGTATCCTTTTTATCGTGTTTAGATCGAAGTATGACCGTCACGAATCACACCATTCCTCATCTCGGCACCGTCGTCACCGTCATCGCAGTCATTCACGTTCACCGTAAGTTCCACGCGTACCTTTTTGATCAACGGTGAATGGCTTGTCTATTATGGTTTTACGTCTAGACAGGATATGGTATTCATCCAAAACCGGTAATTCTTAGTGATTTCGCTTTTATAAATTCGCTGCTTCTGACTGCGTACACACTGAGTATGTCGGTGGAAGCTGAATCTCAGTGGCAGCGGTTAAACTAACAACGTACTTGCCAATGTCTGTCGTACTACCATTTGAGACCCCAGAACCACGTATATGCTTTTGTTGGACTTGTATTTGTTCGGTGAAACCATTGAGAATTTTTGAAATTACAGTAAGTGAATTAGCTCGCGAGTCCTCTTAAACTGCTTCTTGGCAAACGGTTGGCTGCAAGTATTATGCCTTTTAGTAGTTTTCGAAGTTTGGTGGGCAGTTGGTTCGTACCACGGGCCTGAATCAACAGGGATGGACTGGAATGAGTGTGTCTCTTCAGCCTGATACTCCGGCGATGACGTACCATGCGCTCAGACTTGGAAATGCAAACGGCAACACGTGGTTTGAATCCCACAAATCAGAACCGTCTTGATGTATCAGGCGCCAGTTTTCTTTCACATTTTGGTCACTTCCCCCATCGTTTCTTCGAAATATTGTACTGTTTAAACGAACAAACTCGTGCACCTTCCACTGTTTTCGTCACATACTGAGTGTGCACTGCACTATCAACTTTTTTCAAGTAGAAGGGTTCAATTAAAACACATTAACCCAGAATCCTGAATCTACTGTTCTTTTTTTATGTTGAAATGTCATTGTGAGATTTGTACGGCGAAGCGACAGCGGTATTGCAAGGATGGCAGGATGTTTCATCGCTCATAGTAATTCGCACATTGGTCTAGAAGAATAGATTCCACGACCACGCATACCACAGAGAAGGGAGTTATTAGTTAGTGCTTGATTGCACTGAGGAGATTATATACATATTTAT